AATTGAAAAATAAAAATCTATTATAAAGAGAATTCACTACTAAATTGGTGATTGGAAGCCAGTTAATATGCACCAATACAAGGGGAAAGTTCCAGCAAAAATTTGAATTTTTTTTTTTTTGACAGCAGTATCAAATTCCCCACTCAAACATTTGAACACGTGTCAAATACCCAGGAATGGGGTGAAGCTCTACTGTCAGTTTATTATTGGGAATGCCAAGACATTCAAAATCCCCACTGTGGGGATATAGCTTTGTAGTGGATTTCACTGTAGCCTGCACGTCCCCAAAACCCAAAACTCCTGTCTACCTTGGTGGAAAACATACATAACATACATTAGGAAATGTACACACCTTCATGACTAGGGTGGTGTTCTTGATATCCATTGGGAACTGATCAGTATCCCAGCCAAGATCAGGTGATCCAGTATTAGAATCCACCGATCCAAGCATTCCAAACCTAATGCAGATAAGAACTGAATCTGAATACACTTTTTCCAATGCCAAGGTTAAATTTTGTCACAATTAACAAAATAAACTTGACCGGTAGCTATAAAATCTTATGTCCATTTGGTGCAAAATTAACAAAGACAGCTGAGAAAGGATTCCCATGTGCCAAGAGTATTTGAAGCACATGAAGCAGAAATAGGGAATACATTATTAAATTATTTAATTATTTATATATACAAGATTTGTATATAATATGAATTAATCAGATGTTTTTTAACAAGTCAAAATTATCACTATTCACCAAAAATGACAAAAATATTCATCAAAATTAGAGAACTGAAGATATCATCACCACGTAAACAAATCTGAGAGAGGTCTCCCCATGTTGCATATACATCAAAGCAACCAGACTTGCAGAAGAAGGAAAAGTAAAAAGTTAACACGGACGCCAGACAATCACTTATTTGATAAGCTTCGCTCCACAAAGTCGACAGCAGAGCTAAACAATTCTAGTTTGTTGTAGATGCCTTCACTAGCACTGGTTGCATCTCTCTGCCCCCACCAGTGCTTGAAAAAATTACAGTTATTCATATTAAAGACACATTACCATGCGATATGTTAGTCATATTTTGTCTGTTTTCAACTCTAAAATAATCCCCTGAGGAATACCCCAGAGCTCATGAGTGGTTATTGACTAATTTATGCAAATTAGATAATCATTATTCACAATTTCAATCCAAATCATTGCAGGTCTGCACACTGTCTTCTGGCACTTCTCAAGATATCAAACAAGTGAAATACATGTAGTTCTGCTGTCCTGCAAGAATATTGTGGTAGACAAGTAAAGCAATGCACACCCACAAACAAATAGTTTGGTTTTAGCTGTCACTTTAACTTCATCAACCAAATTGTTCACAAAAATAATTGGGAGTGTACAAGAAGAATTCAAAAATAGCATTTACCAAAAATAATAGCCCAAAATAGAGAATTGAAGATACCATCATGAAATGAACATATCTGACAGACAACACTCAAGTAACCTACATGACAAGTATCAAGAAGTCGAAAAAAACATTTGTTTTTACTAAAAATTCCAAAAATATTCACCAAATATAGAGAATTGTAGGTACCATCACAACATGGACAAATCTGACAGAGGTCAACATGCCAAGTATCAATGCAATTCAGCTGGTTGTTTTCAAGAAGAATTCAAAATAACATTTTTTAACAAAAATATTCACCATTGAGAATTTAAGATTTTCTGACAAAGCTAAGCACCAAAGCAATTGTCCTGGTAGTTTTTGAAAAGAAAACCGACAGAAAAAAGTTGTAAAAATTAATGAAAAGAAGTCAAACATGAAATTGTTAACAAACAACGCCGGACAATCACCTATATAAACAGCTCCGCTCTGTCTTCTACGATGACAGCAGAGATAAAAAAAAATGGTAATTATCATGCAAATTAGGTAATTATTATGCACATAATTTTACCCCCAACTAATCAGGTCTTGCCCCAAAACATTGTACCATTTTCCTTGATTTGTGATAATTAGCATTTGATACAGTTACATATTTATCAAATTATAGAAAAATTCATAATTATAAAAACTATTTATTAATTTAAAATTAAATGAAATGTCACCGTCACTACCTCAACCCAACTTGACTTACGCTGATGCCATCACAATATCATGTTCATATCCGTGTCCTGCCAGTGTGGTATGGTTTGGTTCAATGTTCAGTTTGTACTGATTGTCTAGATTGTAATGTTTGAGGAAAGCAATAACCGTCATAGCATCTGAAAATAGAAATATTAATTATTTTTCTTCAGTAATTCTTTTTGCTAAAAGGGTAAAATATCAAAAATACAAATTCATTAATTCTTACAAACTTACAAACAAAAAACTGGTAATGATATTATTTCTCGACTTTGAACAAGCTCAAATATTTAGCACTCTAATTAATCCAGTTCAGAAAAATTATCTTAATCACTAGACATTCTCCCTGAAATTATTCAACACTCTTTTCTTATAATCTTAATTATTTCTGGAAATGAACCCTAATTTTGGAGCCAACAGAAAAAATTTGAGTCAATTGTCATTTTTTACTCAAAAAATTTGGCTATTTTTGTCCAAAGCTTCTGAAGGAGAGTGCAAACTATAAACGTGACTATTTTGTGATCATGAATTTGTGATGTAAAGA